ATTAGAAATTAAGGGTCCAAATGACTTAAGGAAGTGAAATTAATAAGTTGAATCAATTTAATTTTAAATACGGATCCATTTGGGAGTTTAATTAATATTTGGTTTAGTTTAGTAAAATTAAGATTTGATTAATCGGGTCCAAATTGGAATTAATTAAGTTAATTATGTTATAAGGTTTGAGAAATTATGATTATTATGAATTAAATCTATTTATGAGGTATCCAATTTGAATATGAAATATATTGACAAGGATTTTGGGTTTGATTTGAAATTGAAGGCCTTGGTGATTTACGAAACCAAAATTGATGATGATTATGAATTTAATTTAATATTTGGAGCCTTTTTGAGAAATTGATTAAAAATCTGATTCAGTTGATAAATTTAATTATGCTTAATTGGGCTTTTAATGAGAGTCAAATTAGACTAATTAAATTATGTGAAATTTATGATTAGTTGTAATTAATTTAATTACGTATTAATTAAGATTTATGAAGACTATGTGTTATTTAATTAAGCTAATCTTAATCATAAATTAAATTAAGGAAGAATCTAGAATTGTGAGTGTGTGGGTGTGTAAGGAAACCTGTGTGGATGTGTTAAGAATTGTGTGTATATGTATAAGTGATGTGCTAGAAGCTTGAAACAATGTGCACGCGTGTAATGTGCTGTCAACAAATGACCCCCAAATTTTGGAATGGAATTGGAAGCCCCATTTTTAGCTCTGAAAACCCAGAATTCGTCAACATCGCTCGAGCAAAGAAGTTGTCACTTGAGCGTAGAATGCAGACAACTAATATTTTTGCAGACTAAGGAGTCCGCTCAAGCGACCAATGTTGCGCTCGAGCGAAGAGCTCTATTTCAGAAAATTTTGAAAATGTTTCGTTTCCATTTTCTTTTACTTCTAAGCACTCTTAGGCATGTATTGAGCATTATAAATGAACTAAAGAGTAAGAAAGAGCCTCAAAGAATTAAATGGATTAAAGAACGGAATGAATTGTATTGTGACCCAATTTCTATGTGTGTTATAAATTGTGTAGGGTTAACTACAAAGGTGAACCAGGCATTTGAACATTGTGAGTAATATCTTAGTAAAGATATTTTCAAGTATGTTATTTTCCAAATGCTACTTCTGTATAAGCTTTATGGATTTGTTGATTTGAATTATGAATGAGTATTCTATATGCCTAATTTTTGCATAAGGCTCTATGAAAAATATGATTTGAGCCAAAAGCCGTTTGATTATCGTGATTGGCTAAAGGCCATTTGAATATGAATGTAATGGGCCAAATACCGTTTGAATGAACAGGTGATCATGATCATGAATATGAACATGCACATAGATATGAATATGAAAATGATGGACCTGAAGTCGTTCTAATTTTGATTTACATGTAATATGTATTAATGTGAGTTAGTTAATTGAGAATATCATTCATACAGCCTCTTTACTTTAATATTATTCACTAGGCATTAGTTCACTCTTTATATATATATATATATATGTAGGTGAGCAATTAGATGATCAACAATAGAGTTCTCCCCGGAGTCTACCTTTTGTCAAGCCACCCAAGAAGTACCTCTGTGTAGAGGCTTTATTTTATTTTGTCAAGCTTGAGTTAACCTTTGTATTTTGTTAAAAGTCCTTCATGTAATGTGTGAAATATGTTATAAGATATGTCTTCGTACATGTATATATATAAGTGTGTTAAAAATGTTTTATTTACTATAGTTGATCATATACGCACAACTCAATGGACATTATTATTCTTGTTTTGCTTCCGCTTCAGGACCCCATTAAATTTAAATATTTTAAATTTTGTCCTTGAGGCCATAGGTAATCTTTGGATTACTGGCCGGTTACAACGCTAAATCTATAAGGGCGGTTTTGAGTTGTGATAGTTATACGCCTTCAAAGAGTTGTCCAGTTCCATCTTGATTCCCAAGAGATGGTCAACTTCCATGGGTGTTTTGGTGTTCATTTTGAATCTAGTGGCGAATGCCTCTGCTAATTTCTAACATGTCTCAAAGTTTCCCTTCGGCAGCCTGTCGAACCATTTCAAGCCCAATTCGCCCAAACTTGACGGAAAAATTAGGTACATTAGTGCATCGTTCTGCTTGTGTCCAACCATAACTTGTCGGAAGTGACTCACGTGCATGTATGAATCATTTTTTTCTATCATAAAGCATGAATTTTGGCTAGTGGAAATTTGCGGGGAGCGGCATGTTTTCTATCTTGAAGGAAAAAAGGGTGGTGCTCAGCCTTGCTAAATCCCTATTTAGCAACATGTGTGCCGCCAAGCGCAACGGGGCATTATGACCTCCTTACTGGTACGACGGGGACAACCGCTACAGCATCGGCACACTCTAAGCCTCTCGCCGTCGTGCTCACTCCTCTAATACATCCCTCAAATCTCCCGATCGATCAGAATACGAGTATCTCGACGTCATCGACGGACATGACAAATGATAGTTGTTGTCTCGAGCGTGAGACATCTCCACCGATGCAACGGAATCATCGGCTCTGAAACTTCTCCAGATGGAGAGTGAAATTGGTCGTCTACTCCAACTGTCAGAATGGTGGGATTGGCATCCTCACTGTGGTTTCCCACTCCAGCAATGCCCTTTCCTTTCAACTGGCGCTTCATGACCTTCATTTCCACCACCATCTTTCTGATGATGGCATCTTGGTCCCTCAGCTTGCTCTCCAAGTGCTGAGTGTGCGACTCTCATCGTTGGCACCGCCCTTTAGGGCTCAATGAGCACCCAGAACTCCTTGCGAGCTTGTCTTGTGCACCTTCATATAATTCTTGTGTGGAGGTTTCTAGTCCAGCCATGGCCTGAACGAGGGGGCAAGGTATCGCGCCTCCGAACAGACTTTAGCGTAATACCATCGACGATGGATAGCGGAATGCCATCGTTGTTTGCCATGGAAAGTGATCAGAAAAGCTTGGAGGACAAGGTTTTTGTATATTGAAATTTCCACTTATGGTACCAATTGTATAGGGAGAAAATATTCTTCGCTTCTGTACTCCTTTCATCCAAGCCTTGCGTTACTCCGAAGTTGTCATACAACCTAAAAGCATAATGACGATAAGCTACTCAGCTGGTGTGTTACAGGAAAACCCCTCCGACGGTCAACTTAGCACCCTTAGAGAGAGAAGAAAGACTAAAGCACAATGTCGTTGTTGTTTGCAAACTTTGAGGACAAGGTTTTTATATATCAAAATTTCCACAGACGGTGCCAATTGTACGGGAAGCAAATATTCTTCGCTTCTGTACTTCTTTCATCCAAGCCTTGCGTTACTCCGAAGGTGTCGTACAACCTGAAAGCACAATGACAATGAGCTACTCAGTAGGTGTGTTACAGGAAAACCCCTTTGATGGTTCAGTTAGCATGCTTAGATAGAGAAGAAAGACTAAAGCAAAGATAACTTTTGGGTAAGGAAAAATTGTAAACCTTTTGCATGGAGGCGCCGCAGGGCTTATATAGTTTGTGCATGCACTACCTGACTCGTCCTTTCTTGGACGCATGAATGTACTATCCTCTCTTCACCTTACACGTGTGTGTACTAATACTGCCAAACAACATTAACTAAACCCCCAAACGGTATTGACGCGTACAGACGGTGGGTTTCCTTCTTTGCACTCCAATTAGGCCACTTGGCATATCCCTGCCAAACTATCCATAGCACTGTGCCATGATATCCACCCATCGAGACTCCGCAATCTTCAGCCAATCTAGATCAGCAATATCTAGCTGGCAACGATCAGCCTAGTCAAGCTTCACCAACTCGCCAAAGTTAAGCCCTCTCGACTCCGATGCATGGCCAACATCGTTAGCTCAGTTATGGACGTGACAATCAACCTAACTCAACCATTTTTCAGCTCGGTTGAACCCTATTTATAAGGCAAGTTCCACTCAAATCTGGAGCTTGGCCGAAACCATTGGCCTCTAACCCTAAGCCCGGTTGAAGGCAATGCCACCGTTTGATTGAGCTCGGCCCTCGGCCCAAGCCGCCCAACCAGCTCGGCCCAACACCTGAACATCATTCTAGTTCGGCTATGCGATTCGATACAGTGGCCCATACCCGATTTAGCTCGGCCCAATTGTTTGGCACAAATTCCCCTTTTCGTTACGAAAGTCTAAAAAATTATTCAAAAAATAAAATGAGTAGATTAGATTTACCTTACACATAACTCCCATTTTGGATAACTTTGCCAATAAAACTTTCAAACTCGCCAGTTTTACTATTTAAAATAAAAAGGCTATTGGAAAAACAAGACCACTAAAGAAATATAATTATATTTATAAATAAATAAACAAAAAGATTTAATGGAAAAAAAAAAAAGAGAGTTAAAATAGAGAATATTGTTGGAGTATATGTTGAAGAAATGACTAGCTAAAATATAATAATAATAAAAAAGGTGAATTTTGCCTAGCCATTTTGACTAATCATTTGACGCTGCATATGTTCTAAGAAATCTATTATTTGTCAATCTAATTACTTACTATGTCATCATATAAAATATAAGTAAACAAAAGTGAAGTACATTTTAGCTGTGATAGCTAACAATCTATTATTGGTCAAAACTAATTACTTACTACGTCTATGTAAATTGAAATAATAAGTCAACGAGTGCTTAAAGTTGTGTATTGCCTTTTCAATTTCTACATTAATTCATAATTAAAAAGAAATGATAGTGCAGAAGACGAAGATAACAAGCGCTGTAATGACGAAGGACATGACAATAACTAATATAAACATCATTAATTAATACTTCAAACCCAAACCAACCCACAAGTCTCCCACAGTTTCTTCAATTGGGAAAAAACAAAACACACATTTTTTTACAAAATTTTGAAAATTGTTACCATCTTTTGGCAACAAAAACAATCACTAAACCTGTTTTTTTTTTACAGTTTTCAAAATTTTTAAAAACAAAAACAAAACATTAGCAAACAGGAGCTAAGGTTTGCAATGCACGTATAGATATTGTAATTTAGCAAACATCAGGATGATAAATTTTGGAAAATATTTCTTCTGAGTATAGCAAATTGAAAGTACATCTAGAACACTTCAAACAAAGAAAGAAGCATAGCCGAAATTACATCCAAGTTCTGTGGAGTCACAAATGACTTTTACATAGTTAATTTTTAGTTTTATCATGACTACCATACAGGAAGCTCAACAGAATCACAAAAAGGTCATATTGACCAATTTCAGACCGAAGATCAACCCACCAATCAGTTCCATATCCATATCTTTTCTCCCAAAAACTGGCTGAAGATAGATTTTTCTTGCAAAGCAAAATGCGGGTTGTTGCCTTTGTTGGCTGCAGATCTTCCACACCACTGCAATTAACCATACATCAAAATGCATTAATCTCTTTGCAATGTGTAGCAAATCATTGACAGTTAATCAACAACAGAGGTATTCTATCAGATAAAAGTGTTAGAGGTGTTAGAACTTGTATGAAATCAAGGAAAAAGACGGGGGATAAAATTTTGATACTCAAACACATTATTGCAGTTATATGGACGTGTGGTCGTGTTCATAAATTCCCAATTGCTTGGCTTGTCAAAAGAAAACGTACTACATAGTTAACTAATGAGTAATCTAGAATTAAAATTTATGGACCAAAACTTTTCGAGACTTTTGGGTACTTTAAAAGTCTTCCTAGATTAAAACTACGATACTATGAAGCACCGACCTTCAAAACAAGTGCCGTATCCGTATCGAACACACGAACACGACGGGGACACGTATGGAACACGTCACATGGCGTGTTTCCTGGAACACGTCACAGGAGACACCAGGAACACTTCGGGAACATAGGGACATGCCAAGTTGTCTTTTCTCTTATTGCTTTTGACGAATATTTATTATTTTTTTTCTTAGATTTAAATATTTAATAGATCATCCATAAAAATAAAAATAAAAAGATATAAACTGTAAGTATTAATTATAAATATACATATTTATATATATATAGAATTAGAGTTACTTTTGTTAATATAGATTGTTTGTGGATGCAACATTAATCTAGATAGCAAATAAAAATATATGAAGCATATTGTATTGCCATGTCCCCACCGTGTCTGTCTCCATTTTTTTAAAATTGCCATGTCCAAATCTGTGTCCGTCTGCATCCGTATCCGTGCTTCTTAGCTACGATAGATCTTTACAATCACTTCAGATGGCATGGGTTACAGTAACCACAAATGTGTTTCGTAAGAGGGAGCTTTACAAAGGAACAGTTTGAAAGACAATCTTTGGCCATTGAGAGAGAGAGAGCAAGGTTCTGTATTGTAGACCTAAACTAACAAATATGTCAATATCCACTTTGTTCTGAAACTAGTGCATAAGTAACAACAGTAATGAATACTACCATGACAATAGCTGATAAAACTTCTTTGTGGCTTTTGAAGTGCAGAGAGACAAGCTTGGTTAAAGTCCATTTCGGTGGAATGGAGACCCAGAAGGAGCAATCAAACCAAGAGTTTGCATGACTTTTCTTCTTCTTGCTGTCAGTTCTTGGGATTTTCCTGTGGAAGTTGCTGCCTGAAAGCAGCATTTTAAACTTGTAGAATCATTATACGTGTCAAACAGTGGTCGACAAGAAGAAAATAAAAGATTACATCAACTCAAATAATTCAGGGTCATTAAGTTTCAGTTTTCCCTGCACGGCTATTTGCTTTAGTATTTTGCTTTTTTCTTCCTCTAATACTTTCTTCCTCTAATACTTCAACCGTCATTACAAAAATACCATGTTTCACTACAAACATCAATCTATGGTAGAGAAGCACAGGCTTCATGAAGAAAGGATAGAAAAAGTTAAACATACTCACAGGGCTCATGGTTTCTGCTTTGAGCTTTTTCTGCATTCCACCATCTTGATTAGCAGCTTTGCTTCTTGCTGCCTCGCTTTTCTACAAAAGAAAATTACCATTTTTAACTTTATTTGCAGCCTACTTGCAGACTGTCCAAGCTTCCCATTGAAACACAAGCTGCATTTTTAATAAGCAATATAGGGGAGAATGCACAATCTATTCCGTTATATAGCACACAACACACAATCTTTTGTCACATAATTTTCATTTCCAAAAATGCCCATACAATAACTGAGCGAATAAACATGTCACAATAGCTGCTAATAAGTTTTCAAAACCAACCCATATTTCTCATTTTGCATACCATCCAAAAATTTAGATTTAAAATTGCACAGGCATAGCATGTGCACCCACCACTAGTATTTATAAATCTATGCACTCACAGAGCTTTTGCTATTTGGGTCATGTTTCTTATGCACTACATCTGGATTTTGTTCTTTAGTTTTTCCTCCCCTTTTCACATTTTCTGGAAGTAATTCACCATTCTTCAACGTTGTTTGTGGTTTTGAAACACCTGTAAGCCTTGGTGAACTCCTTACCTGATACAAAAGTTGATTCATGAAGAAATTATAAAATTCAGTTATTGACATTAGACATCATTACATCAAGGAAAATGGAAAATTTACAAAGAAATGGGACATATGTTCGCAATACCGAGTTTGGGTGATTTCTTTTGAGTTTCTTCTGCACCCTTTCTCGCTTTTGTTTTTCACTTTTTGTTTCCTCAGTATTTTCTGAAAACAATCCGCTTGAAGAGACCTTTCTCTGACACCAAGTTCATTTCGTGAGAAAAATACAAGATTCAATTCACGTATACTAGATAGTCAAAAAGGACAACATTAATGAAGAAATGGGAGTACTCACAGAGCTAGGGCTAGTTACCTGAACACTTGCAGATGGATGGTTACCCGGGGTACCATTTGTCTGAAAACAAGTTTTATGCCTTCACAATCAGCATTAGAGAATGTAAATAAGCATTTAAAAGAGTAGAATTTTGAAACCGAAGTAAACTTACTGAAATTGGGAATTCTATTTCCTGGATTTTTTTGGTAGTATTTTGCTTAGCTTTTCTGTCTTGCGGAGCACCAACTCTCACTTTTCCTACAAAGAAAACAACAATTTTACCAAATATCAATACACAGTGACACATAAAGATACTTTCAACTAGCTTGCCACATAGAAAACTAAAATACAAAACTCTTTGGAAACATTTATGTTTCTGGTCTGTTTATATTTACAAGAACAATTAAAATTGTAAACAAAAACTAGTTTGGTGTCTATTTTCACCAACTCCCACCCCTCTTATTGGAAACTGCCTTCCGCCATCACTTCTGATCACCAACTCTAGCGATCCATCATTATCTTAGCACAACCACCTCTGATTGTCACCAACTCTAGCGATCCATCATTATCTTAACACAACCACCTCTGATTGTCGACAACCCCCTTCGGATGCTACCGCCAACAACCGACAACCACCTCCCACTAGAGGCACCCAACTCTTGCCAAAAACCACCTCTGGTGACTGACAACCCACCTCCACTTAGCACCTTCAGCGACCTATAACTACCTCCAGCCAACATCTCCAATGGCCAATAACCATCTTTAGCTAACACCCCCCGTCAGCCGTCTCTCACTTGCTTTCAAAACAAATTTTCCCCACCAGATGCACCCAACTCTAGCCAGAAAGCACCTCAGGCTACTGACAACTACCTACAGTAAGCACCTTTAGCGACAACAATCACCTCCAGCCACCATCTTCCACCACCTCCCATTGGCCACCTCTCTCATTTGTTTTCAAAACAAGTTCTTAAAACACATTTTTTGTTTTTGTTTTCGTTTTCATTTTACCAAAAATAAACATAAACAAGTTTGTTGTTTTATGTAAACAAAAAATAGTTAACTGTAAACATTACCAAACCGCACCTCATAATTGGAATCCTAAAGAACATACTTAGCATATACTTAAAAATAGTTACAAAAAGGATGCCTATTTTTCAAAGGTAAATTTGTTTATGACCAAGGCATAATTTTGTGCACACAAAATTGGGACAGGAATTGATGGCAGGGTATCCAAGGTCGAACCAAAAATAAAATAAAATAAAAAATAATAGTGAAGAATTCATGATACCATCCTGAAGCATTTACTTCTATTTTTCCAAGATGTCACCATCAAAAGAAATCCTCAGTAACTTTTAAAGAAAGTCAGTTTGAAATCTGGATTTTAAGGAAATGAAAAAAGTTCAAACATATAAATAGAGTGGTGAGACCACACGAGTGAAACAAAAAATCTACAATTAATAAGTTTATAACCTTTTTTGCAATGTATTTGTACAAACATGCATTTTAACCTCACATCTTAACATTGATGGTGGTGATAGTTCTACAAGTTTCAATTTTAAATGATTACACAAGAAAAATAACTAACAAATTTTTTAAGGAAAAAATCAGATGTTTAGGCCATTAATGCTTTGAAGTATTCTTAGTTGTTTCAATCTCTTGTCACGGAGTTCTAAAACTTGTTCACCTCAAAAGAAGAGGTAATAATAATAATAATAATAATAATAATAATAATAATAATAATGTGTGTGAAGCATGTGCACAAGTTGGTTGTCTCTAATATTTTAATATCAGTGACAGTGACAGTACTATGATTTACTTTCAGTTATAAGCATGACCAAATGAGAAATTTTGCTGACCTTTGAATATGGATTCTTTCCCCTTCGCTCTACCAGATTTGAAGCGAGCAAGATCCTATAGCCATATTGAATTATTGACGAGATTATCACTTGCTAGCACACATAATCGTTGGATAAAAAGATGCAATAAAGAAAGAAAATATCTACCTGCTCCAGAGTTTTCTCAAGTATTTCTCTATAGTTTCCATTGTTTTCCTTTAGTATCTGAATTCAAACATACCGTATGATTAAACAAAAAGTAATAAATTTGAAAATCTGATGAAAGTTAACCGATCATTGTTTCTACTCAAGATTACAAAAAGTGAGAACTTCACAAGGTTGGAGACATATACAGATATTTTACATTCTCAAACCCCGAGCGACATGTCATAGGATCCACATACATGCTGTAGGAATAAACAAGAGTTAGTCAAAGCTTATAGATGCAAAAAAAAAAGAAGTCAAAACACAAAACGGCCATGCACAAACAAAACCACTTACTATTTATAGCTTCCATACAGTCGAACAAGAACTTTACCCACTGATCCGTTTCTAGGTTTATTTCTCCGAGTCACAGTGTTTTCATCAACAACCTACCAAACAAATAAGTAATAGGAAAACAATCAAGTTCACAATGCAGAAATAAAGTCACGAAGTGTCAAATCAGGAATCAAACGGAAAACGCTGCAAAAATGGCACTTTCATAACCTGTGCAGGCCACCATGAGGAGCCACGGAGCCTAACCCATATCAGATCCCCCAAGACAACCTCCTCACTTAAGTGTTTGACTGCAGCTTCATCCTCATCTCCCTTGTCAGCATTACTTGTATTGCCAGAAATACATGTACTTTTCATAGCTTATGTCTGCACTTCGAATAATCTAATTTGGCAAGAAAGTACATAAAACATAAGTCGTCATTTATCAATCCAAGCAACTATAATAAAACATCTAAAGTAGGGATTGTGTTATGTGGTATATAGTGGAAAAAACTAGGAAGAATAAAATGTATAGCATTAGTTCATAGGTTCAATGGGGGAATTTTGATGATTTGTTCTGCATATTCTTTTGCAACAGAAACAAAATTAAGCACAGTTTTACGATAGACTATTGTAAAATTTTGAATCAGTGACAAAAATGAAGCAAAAAAGTAAACTTAAATGATCATTCTAACCATAATTTCAAGGAAAATTGAATAATATTGTCACATAAACAAAAACAACATAACAAATTTTAACCAAGTATACATCTCTCACTCTATGAGGTGACACGCACAGCCAATAGCTATCACACAAAAATCTGGATGGACAACAGAAACATAATGAAATATCACCAGATTAAACATACATTTACAAACTAATTAATCATTGCTATCAACCACTAACTAAACCATTACAAATTGGCTTAACTCTAAAGATGAGAATAACTCTAACTTAATGTTCTTGTCAGCTCATGGGGTGTTACTCCACAAGCTTCAGCCTCTTGAGTTTTATATTACTCCACAAAGAGTGTATATACTCATGTTCCAAACTTTTTATTTGTGTACTTCTCCTCACATAGTTGTGGGCTCTACATATATATAATAAAGAGACATACATGACCATAGTGGACCTTTTTTTATTTTTTTTTAAATAGTGTACCCGTTACACAAAATACCATCACTCTATCCTGATATTTAGCCATAGAAATTTGCAACACTAATGGTTATTTGGTTGTATTTCATTTTCTGAAAAACACAAAGAAACTTATTTGACCAAATGTTTCGGAAGTATTTTTCAAACAATCAAAAAATAGCCCACTTGTATGAAACACAAAATATTGCTTTCAAATTTTTGAAAATTGTTTACAAACTATGAAAAGGATTTATCATTTTTTTTTAATTCTAAAAACACAAAAACACAATCCCCAAATCTTTATCTTCCAATTCCATGTTCCAACCAGGTCTGCTCGGTTGATATATAAGAGGTTGTTTGAAGTCGTCATGGGCAAGAGCTTAAGACTTCAACATAGCACAAAAAGAAAATTCAAAACACGGGCAGAGTGTTGGGATTGGTCCACCTAAGTGGGTCCTATATAGTTATTTATTTGGTTTAGACATGTATTTGGTGTGGAAGAGTAGAATTCGAAATCTACTAGGAAATCCAATATGTGTGGGATTTGGTTTGCTAAATGTATGGGGTTAGAATTCTTTGGGTTTGCGTTTGCCAATAAATAACTCAATGGGGGCTATAGATTCAAGTGTGAGAATTAAGGGAGAGATAAGGAGGTGACAGAAAGGGAAAAAAATACAAACAAGCGAGGGCATTTGGTTTGGGTACTTTTATCTCTCATATTAGTAATCACTCAAATTATAGTGAATTTATCTTACCCATGGACATAGACAGCGGGTGTTGAACCATGTAAACACTGATGGTTCATATTTTTCTATGTGTTTTTGTGCATCTATTAGTGTGGGTGGGATATAAAGAAACCCAACAAATGGTATCAGCGCATTGGGTTTTTATTTATTTTTTTGATCTCTTGGATACAGATAAAAAAATTGTTAAAAAAATAATGTTCCATACTATTCTATTTTTTTCGTCATTGTGGCTTGAGGCAAGGGTTATTGTTGTGGCTTAGAATTGCATGCAAGGAAGGCCTTATTCATTGTTTGAGCTTACAAAACAAAGGTCACGCACTATGTTAGTAAGGTGTACTCGAGGTTGCAATCTAGTGTGATGTGTTGGTAAATCGTGAAGGTTCATTTTTTTGTTATATCGGTGTAGATAGATAACAAAGACAATTTGAGGTAGGAGTTTACTCCAAGGTTTTTAGGTGTTGCGGTTTCATCTGTACAGTTAGAGTTTTCAAACTTTGAACAGATTATTGAGATTAGATAGATTGGTGGAGATCAAAATTCTCATGGCAAGAAAAAGTTCAAGTTTTGTGATTTAACCTTTCAACATAAACAATTATTTAACCCTATGGCAACAACGGTGAACAAAATTTTGACAAGGGAGGGGGTGGTGAAAGCTCTCAAAAAGAAGTCTGAAAAATTGAAAGGGATAAGGATGAAAAATGGGAAGAGATGCGGGAACTCGCAAACAACACGATCTAGTTGTATCTCAGGAATAACACATTTCAGGAAGTCATCAATGAGACAAATCTAGCAAAGGTACAAGTCAAAGTTCTTGACAAATAGGTTATCCTTGAAGAACTAACTATACGCACTTCAAATCACAGAGGAAGCAAACTTTATGGACCATCTAAATGAGTTCAACATGATAATAATGAAATTAGATGCCATTAGTGCAAAGATCAAGGAAGTGGATAAGGTAACCCTTTTGTTGGTCTCCTTACCTTCGTTGTATGAACATCCCATGAGTCAATGCAGAAAAAAGAGAGTGGCAAGATCTTAGATGAGGGTGTCACGGTTACATCAGATGATGGTCATGTCAAAGGCAGGACAATTGAGAGATGGAATGGATCCAACCCATGGGGTTATTCACAATCAAGGCCAAGCTACAAAAGAAAGTGCTACTATTCTGACCAAGAGGATCATATCATTAAGAATTACCAAAGCACAAGGCAGACAAGGTGAAGACAAATCCATTTGATGCAGCAGCTATAGTGGGCCCTTCTGATGATGAAGCTGATGTGCTCATAGACTCTCCAAGTATGGAGAAATTAGATTGGATATTGGATTCTCAAGGTTCTTTTAACATATGTTTGGATAGGAATCATTTTTCCACATATAAGGTTGTTAACGAAAATATGTTTAGGATGGCTAATAACATAGTGAATAAGGTTGTTGGTGTGGGGACATTGCAGTTCCGTATGAATGATGAAAGAATTCTTACATTGAGTGGAGTTCGACACGTGCCAGGTTTAAGGAAAATTTGATTTCTTTGGGAAAGCTAGATTTGAGATGTCGCGTGTTCTTATCTAGTGATAGATTTCTTTAGGTTTTCAAGGGAGTTGGGGTTATGGTGCATGGACAGACGGTTAGCAACTTGTACAAACTAGTAGGAGATGTTTTAACAAAGGGAGCTACTATCAAGCATCAATCAAGTAGTACGAGTGGTAAGTATACACACGTGACGCGTATGGGTGAACAAGGTGATCAAAAGTTGCAAAAGGGCACAGAAGCATACATTGGTGGCTCAAAAGATGGGTAGAAAGAAGGGCAATTACTAATTCACAAGGAACCTCCGAGCAAAAAGACTGAGTTGGTTGACAAGGCGAAGCACACGCTTGGGAAGAAAAGAGTTTCTTTTGCTCAAATTTTGGTTAGTGGTGGTGATCTCTCCAAATGCACACAAAAAGGCAGAGAAGAGTCACAACAATTGGTAAAGTGAGCTTTACAAGGTACCCCAGGCAGGTGGTGTAAGACACACAAGTAAGGGGGTATGGATGTGGATCACCCCACATGGATGGACGCAGTGATTGTTGCGATTGGTCCGCCCAAGTGAGTCCTATATAGTTATTTATTTGGTTTAGACATGTATTTGGAATGGAGTAGTACTAGTAGAGTTCAAAATCTACTAGGAAATCCAATGCGTAGGATTTGTTTTTCTAATTGTAAAGGGTTAGAATTCATTGGCTTTGGATTTGGGTATTTTTATCTCTCATATTTGTAATCGCTCAAATTATAGTGGATTTCTTTTATCAATGGGTGCCGAACCACGTAAACACTGATGTTCATATTTTTCAGTGAGTTTGTGTGCTTCCTCTAGTGTGGGTGGGATATAACAAACCCAAAACAACACAGAGTATATTTGGAAACCCTTTGTTTCAATTCATGTGAATGGAACAATCATTGTGAGAAACCATTTAGATTTATTAGTCTTTCACTTTCTTCACTATAGCAGCACAGAGCATGAAACAAACAAACAAACAAACATGACATGAGCACACAAAATGAGCAATGGTCCCAAAATGTTCATAGAATAGACTCAGTGGTGCTTTTCCACACTTACATTTGAATCAATCACAGAGCTAGATAACAACAATAAGGTTTAGAGCACTTACAATCTTAGAAGCAGAAAAATAAAAAAGAAGAGTTTGCTTTCAGCTAGAGAGAGAAACTCCACTCCGTAGCCCAGACTCCTCCTGTTTCTCTCTCTAGAAACTCGAAAACATATACAAACATGAGAGAGAGAGAGAGCTTTTAGAAAAAAGAGGAGTGTTTTTATTTGAACTTTTTGTCCAATGGCTTTTAGAGGGTCGATTCATCAATTCTCAGGAGAGTATGGGGTTCGTCGATTGCTATTCTTTGACCGTCGGATTTCTTAACGTTAACTGGGGCCCACCAATGGACACTTATTTACAGCCGTTGGATTTTCAATCTGAAGTTAGCGGGGCATCGATCAAAAAAAAGTTAGCGGCGCCATGTTTGCTAATGTAAGCTGTCCGAGCAGATTGGATCCCACTTGCTAACATGCGCCATGGCCCGCTATTCGCCACCATGCTAAAGTACCCTGAGCATTGCCTGCAGCCTGCGGCCCAACTCACTCACTCTCTCTCTCTCTCTCTCTCTCTCGTGACTGGGATAGTCAGCCTACTTTAAATAGTGATTTTTTTATTAATTTATTATGAAAAATATAAAATACATAAAATAAAGAGATGATTTGATTTAAATAAATTAAAATAAATAAGTTAAAAAATTAAATTAATCAAATATTATTAATCTTTTTGGTAGGGGTGTCCGCGGTTCGGTTTGTGACGGTTTGCGATTCGGTTTGGACCCGTCCGCATCTATGCAGTTTGGAAAAAAGTCAACCCGCAATGTGGTTTGCGGTTTGTGCGAATAGGGTTCGCGGATATGCGAGCGGTTTGCGGATTGAACTTTTTTTTCAAAAATTTATTTTTAAACTTTTTATTTCTCTCATTTTGTCAATCTTTATTTTAGACCTTTTTTCTCATATTTTCTAAAATGTTTTAACATTAATAATTAATGAATTAAAACTTATAAAAAACTTATAAAATAAAAAACACAACAAATTCAATTTGTAACTTAAACAAATCATTCAAAATCTACATTCTATCATTAACTTGTATTCATCCTACATTCATCATTCATAACTCAAATAAAAAAATCCTACATTGAAAATTCAACATTCATCATTCCTAACCAAAAAAAAAAAAGTAATTCTTCATTAACTTACATTCATCTAAAATGCAAAAAAAATAAAAATTCATTAACTTACATTCATTCAAAACCAAAACGCAATTAAAAAAAATAAAATTGTTGTCAAACTTCATTCAATACAAACCCATGAAATAAAATTAAAACATTTCTAAGATATCAAACTTCATCTTCATGAATCACATCCAATTCAACTTTCACAAATTCCGATTCCAATTCCAATACTAATTCCATGCATTTGGTTGATGAACCCTACACAAAAACAAATTGAAAAAATATAAACTTTAATCTTCAATTATAGTAAGAAATGAGAAGATAAACAAATGTCTATATATTGCATCTCAATATAGAAAGAAAATATGTTGAGTATATAAAAATTGGGTGTATGACTCCTCAAATTACTAGTCTCATGAGTTCTAGAGTCAGCCATATACTCTTTCTTACAATATTTACATACGGCTCTACGCTTCCATCGGTCCTTACAACCTTGTCAAAATGATCCCAAACTGTGGATGGTGCTCTCCCCCCTCCACTCTTACTCTTTCTCTTTGGGGGTCTAGGAGGCTTAAGTTCAAGTTCAGGTTCAGGTTCGACTAAAAGATGATTCATTTGAGAATTAGAGGATTCCAGAGGTATAAGATTGATTGCGGGAGATTGAATATTATCCTCCATTTAAAGTGGATTACAAAAATACAGTCACAGAATCAATTTTACAGACACAGATTCAATTTTAATAACAGGTTGAATTCCAAAATTATACAGACAGATTCAGATGTGCCAAAATTATACAGACAGAATCAATCAGTTTGAATGTAAACAGACAGATTCAATGTAAACAGATTCAATGTAAACAGATTGAATTCAGAATTAAATAACATACAGATTCTACCTATTTTTTCTGAATTCCACCTAGTTGGTCAATCTGAATTCCAAAAATTAAATAACATACAGATTCAGATTTCAGATTAAATAACAGACACAATTAATAAAATTAACATACAGATTCAGATTTCAGATTTAATAAAATTAAGATCAACATACAGATTTCAGATTCAGATTTCAGATTCAGATTTCAGAATTAACACAGAGGCCAAAACAACTAAGATCAAACAAAACAAATGTAGATTTCAGATTTAATAAAATTAACATACAGATTTCACAACTAAGATCAACACATTACAGATTGAACACAGATTCAACACAACTAAGATCAAACAAAACAAACACAGAGGTGAGATCAGATCTGTTGGTCCAAAAAAAAAAATCAGATTTATTTCCAAAGAAACACATAGATTCGATCGGTGCAGAGATGAGAGATCAGGAAGAGAGAGAGGCTTACTTGTGAGCCGATCGGTACAGAGATGCAAAACCAGAGACTGAGACTGATGAGATGAGAGAGCGAGAGAGACAGATCAGATTAGAGAGACATCTAATATATATATATATATATAAAACAAAAAAAATCAACGATCGGGCCGAGAGAGAGAGAGAGACAAAGATTGAGAGAAAGAGTTTACCTGTGAGTAGATCGGCGGTGCGATGATCGGTGTGATGAGATGAACAATGAGAGAGTGAGAGAGTGATCGGTGCAGAAACGAGAGAGTGAGAGAGAGAGAGAGTGATGAGTTGAGATGAGACTGAGAGAGTGAGGGAGACGATTAGGGTTTTTTGTTTTGTTCGTTATAGATGAGGTGAGTGAGATGGTGAGATGGACTGTTAGATTTGAAAGAGGGAAAAAAAAACATCTCCGCAAGAGCCCTTTTACAAGTATCAAAATTAAAAATTGTTGCTACAACCTCAACACCCTCTTCATTTTGCTTCGGTTTAAGATTTAGTGTTTGTTGACCATCTGTATCCCTATTTGGATATTCTTTACAATTGGGTGTATGACTCCTCAAATTACTAGTCCCATGAGTTCTAGAGTCATCCATATACTCTTTCTTACAATATTTACATACGGCTCTACGCTTCCATCGGTCCCTACAACCTTGTCAAAATGATCCCAAACTGTGGATGGTGCTCTCCCCCCTCCACTCTTACTCTTTCTCTTTGGGGGTCTAGGAGGCTTAAGTTCAAGTTCAGGTTCAGGTTCGACTAAAAGATGATTCATTTGAGAATTAGAGGATTCCAGAGGTATAAGATTGATTGCGGGAGATTGAATATTATCCTCCATTTAAAGTGGATTACAAAAATACAGTCACAGAATCAATTTTACAGACACAGATTCAATTTTAATAACAGATTGAATTCCAAAATTATACAGACAGATTCAGATGTGCCAAAATTATACAGACAGAATCAATCAGTTTGAATGTAAACAAACAGATTCAATGTAAACAGATTGAATGTAAACAGATTGAATTCAGAATTAAATAACATACAGATTCTACCTATTTTTTCTGAATTCCACCTAGTTGGTCAATCTGAATTCCAAAAATTAAATAACATACAGATTCAGATTTCAGATTTAATAAAATTAAGATCAACATACAGATTTCAGATTCAGATTTCAGAATTAACACAGAGGCCAAAACAACTAAGATCAAACAAAACAAATGTAGATTTCAAATTTAATAAAATTAACATACAGATTTCACAACTAAGATCAACACATTACAGATTGAACACAGATTCAACACAACTAAGATCAAACAAAACAAACACAGAGGTGAGATCAGATCTGTTGGTCCAAAAAAAAATCAGATTTATTTCCAAAGAAACACATAGATTCGATCGGTGCAGAGATGAGAGATCAGGGAGAGAGAGAGGCTTACTTGTGAGCCGATCGGTACAGAGATGCAAAACTAGAGAGTGAGACTGATGACATGAGAGAGCGAGAGAGACAGATCAGATTAGAGAGACATCTAATATATATATATATAAAACAAAAAAAATCAACGATCGGGGCGAGAGAGAGAGAGACAAAGATTGAGAGAAAGAGTTTACCTGTGAGTAGATCGGCGGTGCGATGATCGGTGTGATGAGATGAACAACGAGAGAGTAAGAGAGTGATCGGTGCAGAAGATGAAGATGAACAACGAAACGAGAAAGTGAGAGAGAGACAGTGATGAGTTGAGATGAGACTGAGAGAGTGAGGGAGACGATTAGGGTTTTTTGTTTTGTTCGTTATAGATGAAGTGAGTGAGATGGTGAGATGGACTGTTAGATTTGAAAGAGGGAAAAAAAAAATTAATTAATTTAATGCGGACGGGTTGGAACCGCCCACAACCCGAAATTTATATAAAATCCAAACCGCACCCTACCCGAATGTGTTTGCGAAACCGCCCACACACGTGCGGTTCGGATCGGGTAGGGCGGTTTGGGTGGGTTAGATAACCCTATGCCCAGCCCTACTTTTTGGTATTGTTTGTTTGGAGGGTGGGATAGAATTTATATATGTTGTTTGATTTTTCAATTTTGCTCTGTACTAATAGTCTCTCCAATCTATTAGTCCATATGTGTTGGACTATTATCTCACATGGGGGGTGGGACAAAATAGGAGATTAGGAGGATATGGGTTAAGTGGTGAAATGACCATTTTAACTCTCTATTATTTAATTATTTATTATATTTAATAAAATTCAATAAATCTAAATGTCTCAATTTAAAAATAAAATAATTTAATTTAATTTTTATTGATGCTTTATTTATTTAATTTTTAAAATAATTTTTTATTGATGTTTTATTTTAAAATTTTATTTATATTTTATTTCATTTCATTATTTAAATTTTAATAGATGTTTTATTTAATTTTATTATTTAATTATTATTATTATTTTAAATAAATTTATTTAAAATTTTAATTAAAAAATAACATATATTTTTATTGATATTTTATTTATTTAAGGGGAAAGCACAATTAAATCCCTAATTTGGGAATATTAACACATTTAGTCCCGACGTTTTTTTGTTGGGCTAATAGGTCCTATTTTATGCGTAAAGACATTAGTACCCATTTTTTTACGTGTCTGGGTCAGTAATTGAGGGGGTAATTTTGGATTGGTGTTTATGTGTAATTTACCGAATTGCCCAAAAAG